AGACTAATATTAGGGTTTAGGGTTTAGGGTTTAGGGTTTAGGGTTTAGGGTTTACGTTTGGACGTTGGCGGGAATGCCGAATTCGTCGAGGTAAGACTCTTTGAACCTTTTGTCCGCGAGGTGTCTAGACACCTCAAAACTTATTATTTCTTTATCTTCTTCAATTGTGTTTTCAATCAAAGCAGCAAAATGAGCAGCAGCAGCAGCAGCAGCAGCAGCAGCAGCAGCAGGAGCAGCAGCAGCAGCAGCAGGAGCTGCTGGCACGGGGCCCAGGCTCACGCTGCAGCTAAACCCTTTCTTCGCACGCACACACAAACCCCAAACCCTAAACCCTAAACCCTAAACCCTAAACCCTAAACCCTAGAAAGGCGCAGGGGGCGTTGGGGCGGAAGCAGCAAAAGCAGCAAGGCGAGCCAAGGCTGCAAGGGGCCTAGGGTTTGGGGTCTGCAGCCTAGGGTTTAGGGTTTAGGGTTTAGGGTTTAGGGTTTAGGGTTTAGGGTTTAGGGTTTACGTTGAACTTGACTCTGCGAGTGGTTCGGCCTATTGGCAGGCGAAAGGCAACGCATGCAGCGCCTTTGACAATAAGCAAAGCAGCATCATGTGCGGGGGTTCTTTTCGAGTTGCTGCTGCAGCAGCAGCTGCTGCTGTTGCTGCTGTTGCTGCTGCTGCTGCTGCTGCTGTTGCTGCTGCTGCTGCTGCTGCTGTTGCTGTTGCTGCTGCCGCTGCTTGCGGGCGCAGGGGAGGAGGGGCTGGCGCTGCTCATTGTGGCCACCGCAGAAGCAAAAAACTTTCTGCTGCTGCTGCTGCTGCTGCTGTTGCTGCTGCTGCTGCTGCTGCTGAGGAGCGGGGGGAAGTGCAGCGAGGGTTTAGGGTTTAGGGTTTGGGAATGAGGGGCTAGGGTTTTGAAATAAGGGTTTAGGGTTTGGGCGGCAGCTGAGGCGGCCCTGAGCCACTCCTGCGAGCGCGCTCCTCTAGCTGCTGCTGCTGTTGCTGCTGCTGCTGCTGCTGCTGCTGCTGCTGCAGCTGCTGCTGCTGTTGCTGCAGCGCGACCTCCCCAAACACCGCAAACTGCCGCAGCAGCAGACACTTTCGCGAGCTGTTTCAGCTGCAGCAGCAGCAGCAACAGCAGCAGCAGCAGCAGCAGCAGCAGAAGGCCAGGAAAGGCGGTGCAGCAAAGATGTTCTGGCTTGGAAGTTTCTCTTAACACACACACGATCCCGATCCCAGCAGCAGCAGCAGCAACTGCAGCAGCAGCAAGAGCAACTGCAGCAGCAGCAGCAGCAGCAAATGGAAGGAGACAAGACAAAGCCTAAATCATAAAGCCCAAATGTGCAATTAAATAAATTTTAAATTAATAGCGGGACTGTCTTGCTGCTGCTGCTGCTGCTGCTGCAGAGCAGCAGCAGCAGCTGCTGCTGCGGCTGCATGCGCTGCTGCTCGGGGCTGGCTGCTGCTGCTGCTGCTGCTGCTGCGCAGCTTTGTTGCTGCTAATTATTTTGTTTTTGTCAGTTTGTTTAAAAGACTGGGAAGTTTTCTTTGCTGCTTCTTCTGCAGCGCAGCAGCAGCAGCAGCAGCAGCGATATCCGCAGCAGCAGCAGCAGCTGCTGCTGCTGCTGCCCGAGACTTTGCTGCTGCTGCTGCTGCAGACTGTTCAGGGATCTCCGCACTTCTGTTATCTCAAAGCTTAAGCAGCAGCAGCAGCAGCAGCACTGCTGACAGCAGCAGCTGCAGCAGCAGCAGGGACGCCAGGAGCAGCAGCTGCAGCAGCAGCAGCAGCAGCAGCAGCAGCAGCACGAGCAACAGCAGCTGCTGCGCAACAACAGCGACACCAGAAGCAGCAGCTGCTGCAACACCAACAGCAGCAGCAGCAGCAACTGCAGCAGCAGCAGCAGCAGCAGCAGCAGCAAATGGGAATGGGGGAAGACTCTGACTCTGGGGGCGGGCCCTCAGAGTCTCGCAGCGAAGCAAAAAGCAAAAATGAAATAAATAAAAATAAAAATAAAAATAAAAATGAAAATAAAAATAAAAATAAAAATGAAATTAAAAATAAAAACGAAAATGAAAACAAAGAAAAGAGTTTAAGTCCAGAAAAAGAAAAAGAAAAAGAAAAAGAATTTAATAAAAAAGATAATTATAATTATAATTATAATTATAATTATAATTATAAAGAAGATAAATATAATAAATATAATTATAATAAAGAAGATAATAAATATAATAATAAAGAAGATAAATATAATAAAGAAGATAAATATTACAAAGAAGATAATAAATATAATAATAAAGATAATTATAAATATAATAAAGAAGATAAATATTATAAAGAAGATAATAATAAATATAATAAAGATAATAAATATAATAAAGATAATAAATATAATAAAGATAATTATTATAAAGAAGATAATAAATATAATAAAGATAATTATTATAAAGAAGATAAATATAATTATAAAGAAGATAAATATAATTATAAAGAAAAATATAATAAAGAAGATAAATATAAAAATAATAATAAAGAAGATAAATATAAAAATAATAATAAAGAAGATAAAAATAAAAAAGAAGAAAATAATAATTATGAAAAATACAATAAAGAAAAGTTTAATAAAAATAATAAAAACCAAAATAATGAAAAAGACAATTCTGCAGAAGAAGACTTCAATGAAAACTCCAAAAGTCGAAAAGAGAGACACAGAAGAGACAGTTCTGAAGCAGCAGCAGCAGCAGCAGCAGCAGCAGCAGCAGCAGCAGCAGCAGCAGCAGCAGAGAGCGGCGGCGAGGGGGGCAGAGAGAGGGAGAGGGACAGGAGAAGCAGCAGGAGAGGCAGGAGAAGAGGCAGAAGCAGCAGCAGCAGAAGCAGCAGCAGCAGCAACAGGGATTCTGCTGCTGCTGCTGCAGCAGCAGCAGCAGCAGCAGCAAGGGAGAGACACCCCAATATGGCTGGGGCGCTGCAGAAGGCCCAGGCGGTGCTGCAGCGGGCGAGGGAGCAGCAGCAGCAAAAGCTGCAGCAGGAGCTGCAGCAGCAGCAGGAGCTGCAGCAGCAGCAGCAGCAGCAAACCAGGGAGGCCAGGGAACGTGCGCTGCAGAAGCAGCAGCAGCAGCAGCAGCAGCAGCAGCAGCAGCACGCCGCCCACTTTGCTGCTCACGTTTACGCCTCCCATGCTGCTGTTGCTGCTGCTGCTGCTGTTTCTGCTGCAGCAGATACAGCAGCAGCAGCAGCAGCAGCAGCAGCAAGAGAGTCGCGGCCGCAGCAAGGAAGCAACAGGTACCTCTGGCCCTCAGCACCAGCACCAGCAGCAGCAGCAGCAGCAGCAGCACCAACTGCAGCAGCAGCAGCAGCAGCAGCATTTAGACACAGAGAAAGGGACAGAGAAAAAGAATTCAGAAGTGAAAGTGTTCAAAGAGATTATTACTCCGAAAGAGACAGGGGCCCCTCAACTCGCTGGGGGCCCCCAGGGGCCCCACACCCCAGCAGCAGCAGCAGCAGCAGCAGCAGCAGCAGCAGCAGCAGCAGCTCGGCCAGGCGGCCCCCCTCTCGCTGGGAGGGTTCTGGGGGCCCCCGGGGCCCCCCAGGCCCTGACTCGGGGCCCCCGTCTCCGAGGGGCCCCCATTCTTATAGAGACTCTTCTCCCGGGGGGCCCCCAGGGACTCCCCCCCTCGTTCCTCTCCCGCTAGGGGCCCCCGCAGGGGCCCCCAAGAAGCCCCCGCTGCTGAGGGGCCCCCCAGGGGCCCCCCTACCGAGGGGGGCCCCCCCGACAGGGGCCCCCCCAGAGACACGGGGGCCCCCCGCGACCGGGGGCCCCCCTGGGGGGCCCCCAGGGGGGCCCCCGGGGGGCCCCCTGGGGGGCCTGCGGTATGTGGGGCGGCTGCCTTTGGGGCCCCACAGCGAAAAGTTTGAGTGGGTGAGATTTTTGGAATGGCAAATGGAAAGAATGAAAAGAAGAGAAGAAATGGAATTTGAAAGAAGTAGAATTTGGAGAGATGAAAGAGAACTGAGTCCCACGCGGTGGAAGGTCTCTGCTGCTGCTGCTGCTGCTGCTGCTGCTGCTGCTGCTGCTGCTGCTGCTGCTGGGGGTGGGGGCGGTGC